GTCTTGCTAGAGGCCAATACTTTTCCGCTCTTAATTCCAGTGTACATTTTTCTAAAATTTAAAAAAATATGTTTAATATTAGTGTAAGCAGAACTCGTTGATTATATTAAACACGCTGACTCGAGTTGTAAATTCAAACTGTGTTCATTTCATTAAAAAATTCTTCTTTGGCAGATAGTACTTCAACTTTAAAATAGCAGCTGAGAGAGTTAATTTCATTACTATTTTTTAAACTTCATTTTTATATTCTCCATAGGAATAAAAATTTACATTGAAATTTACATGTCAGCAAGCAGTTTACAGTCAGCCCTTCGGTCTTTTAATACTTAGAATTATTTTTAAATGCAAATCATCGATATTACGGCTGCAACGAGCGGTTATTATGTCAACTCTGCCCAATTATATATTAATCATAGGTATTATGCATATGCCGTTCTATCCAGCACAACTGCAAAACCATATTATTAGTTATCGTGACAGGGTCCATAGGTGGCTTACAGCCTGCCAGTCAAAGCAGCCTCAACAATTAAATAAACAATTCGTAATGCTGCTGTTAAATCCCCATCTCTATCTCTCTCTCTCTCTCTATCTTGTAGCTGGCGGCTTTATCTTTGTGTTGTAACTGTAAAGTGATATTAATTATGAGCTTTTGTTGCAAGAAGCGACTGCACTCGACACAGTTGCCAGCCAACAGTGTTTGGAACTCCACGCTATCATTGATGTTGTTGTGCTTGTCCCTGTGTGTCATCTTCTTGTCACTGATTAAGTGAGTTTTGGTGCATGACTCAACTGTGTGGCTGGGGCTCATGTACATCAGCTAGATAAACAAAATTTGTTGCAATTAATGGTAAGCACTGTACACAAGCGCTTTGACAATCACTTTGTACCATGTGTGTGTGTGCGTCCATCGACTGACAACATGATTTTCATGGTTGTCATAGAAAATTGTGGTTGTCTTGTGAATGAATTGAATATAGATTAGATTACAAATGTATGACAATTTCCTATGTTTCAATTGCGTAAATTGTTGAATATTCAAATATATTTTGATTGTGTATGAGTAAATCGCTTACACGTCTTTTCCATCTCAGATTTTCTTATTAATGGTTACATATCGATGGAATGCATTTTAGTATTTAATTTTAATATGTGGTTTGGTTTATCGCAACAAGGACGAGCATGCGCATCAATTGAATATCGTAAGCAGCAACTAAAAGCTTGATTTCATTATCAATAATTCTTAAATACTCGAATGTCTGTGTTACTATAAGCGACCACTTTCTGAACATTAAACATTCGTGAATTATTTATCGATTTTCGCATCGATGTTATAAGTTGTAAGACAATATCAATGTCACAAAAAGCTGATATTAAAAGAAAAATGGGCGGATTTTAATTTGTATTAAATTTATTGAAAGAGCAGGAGGAATAATAAGAGACAAGAAAAAGACAACAAAGTAGATAAGGACTATTTTGATTTACAATACAAATAAAGTCGTAAAATTATAAATGCAATTATTTGATCATTATATCCAAAACAAGATATACCGTTCCATATCCATATGTGGATTTAATTATCATACATTCCGCGGCAACATCTGACGTAATTGTTTGGAAGCCCTCACCAAACCCTAATTCTGTGCTCAATCAGGTAACAGTTTAATGACTTTTCGCGAATCTCACATTAATGAGTTGGGTGGTGGCAAAAGCGAACTAACTATCGCGTGATAGTCAGTATCGTCAGTCTAGTGCCATGCGAGGCTTAGATACATTTGTATCTCACGGCAGACAGGCAGGTTGGTTGGCTGGCTGGCTGGCAGGTATGTAGCACGTTTAGCTACTTATGCATTTGTGCAGGCTTCTGGCCCAAATTCAATTTATTATTCCACCATATGAGCTTTCGCACTTAACTTGCATGAATATATAATGAGCTGGCAAGGCAAAATGGAGAGAGAAAGCGTTTCGCCAGCGGGTTGCGGGGTGCATTTTACGCATTGTGAATCGTTGCGTGTTTAAGCCTGCTGCGAGATGTCCAAATTGAATTATTAATAACACGCAGCGCGACTGAAACAATCTATAAATATGAGTGTGTGTGTGGTTGAGTGTGTATCTGTGTGTGTGTGTGTATGGTGTGGCCCCCAGACGAGAGAGAACAAAGTGAAAAGGCGACAACCTTGGGACACTTGGCCAGAAAAACTAATCGTGCCACTTATGACCATAATTTGTCAATTTTCTAAACAATTCCCCAAAGTCGCATAAAATGTCTCCATGTCTCTTTGGCCTTTGGCACCCATTACGCTCATTTCCCTCTCTCTCTCTCTCTTTTCTCTCTCTCTCTCTCTCTCTCTCTCCCTTTTGTGGCTTTCGCTTTTGTGAACGGGACACTTTGCTGCTGTGAAAAATGAAAGTGAACCCAAACTGCCAGCATTACTGTCTGCATTTTGACTGACTGACCGACAAACGGACAAACGGACTGACTGACTTGACTCGAGTCTTGAATTTTATCCCTTGACGATTTTTCTTACCCTTCGCCACTAAACGCATTTAAATGCCGTTGTATGCATAAATTACTCAGCATCCCGACAGTTTCAGCCAAAGACTGTAAATGAGTTTGTGGCTCTGCATTTCTATGGTAGAGACCATACATAATTGAAATAAATGCGAGCATGTTTTGGGGTAAAGGGAACCTGTTGCTAACGGTCGAGATGGCCCACTGAAATACACATGTGATCGGCTTAAGTGGAAATTGTGTGCACAGATTTGAGGTGCTCAGCAATCTACGATTGTCAAAACATGGAAAATTGCTTTCCCATAAATCAATTTTGGTTTGACGCAAATCGAATGTTTTTAATGCCTTTCAGAATCCTGCTCATTGTTCTTAGCATTAACCTTTTCGAATAATTTTAATGACTAAGCTACATTTTCATCAACTAGTATTCGTTTTATATTGAATAATAAAATAAGAATATTAAAAAATATTTGAGCAAATTACTTTTTAACTTGAAACATATTTTGCTCAACTGCAGACCCATTCCCAGTAATAACCAAAATCGAGCTCATAATAAAAATCCAATAAAAAGTAATAATGATAATCGAATCAAATCCATTTACTGCTTACAACAAAAATGTATCGAAATTAAATCAACGATGACTAAATGTTATTGCAAATACCAAAATCACTTAGCCAGGTCGAAAAGAAGCTAAAATGAAAAGAGCAGGAGGCAAAAGCGAACGTAAATGGAATTCAAGCATCTAAATTGCCAACCGGTCGGCCCTTTGTTTTAACGCCCCAAAATTACCGCCCCTTTGTGTATTTGGCCGCAGATAACTGCCAGCCAAATGATACACATTAGGCCAAGGTATACGACCATTGGTAATACATATACCCATATATATACACATATGTATATGGATTTGTGCGGGCAGTGTGTGCAAAATCAATTCAAGCTCAATTTCCTTTGATGAAATGAACAGCCGGTTCGGGGAACCGTGCCGAACGTGACAGTTGTGCTCAAAATATAACAGGAATGCTGAAAATTGCAAAAAAATAAAACAAGTAAGAACGGTGAATGCGAGTGAGTTCGACTACAAAATGCCCTAAACCCATCTGTTAATTATAAAAGTCAATATATTTAAGAATATAGAAAATGCTTCGCTTGATTACAGTTCAGAATTCAATAAGAAATTACATTTTGGGTTATTTCTTCGGTGTTTCCTATCCGATATAAATAAAATTAGTACAGTTGATCAATAATATGTCATTGTATATAATATACTACTTAGAACAGACTTGAGTAGATCGACTCGGCTGTTGATCCTGATAAAAATTATATACTAATGATAGCCAACATACTTTCGCTCAAAACCGTTATACCCTTCTTATTTATTTTTAATGGGTACAGGGTATACAAAATACTGTCAATATTGTGCTCTTTTCATCATACGGACATACATACATACCTAAATATATAGCCAAGTATGTATTTGGGCATTAAGTTGTACTTGTGTGGGGTTTGTTGATATCGTTCAATTAATAACGCAAATCCTTTATGACCCAGTTGCCAGAGTTGCCATCGTTAATTAATGCGCTCCACGCCAATTTAATGCACTCGTTGCCGCTGCTGTCACCGACGCTGCCTGGGTGCTATGATTAATGTTTAATTAAATTTTGTAGCATTTATAATAAATAAAAAAAATCAAAAACAAACAAACAAACAAAAAAACGACGAAAAATTCGAAAATGCGCCATCAGGATTACATCATAATTAATCGCAGCCATTATTTATAACGATATCAGCAAGCGAGCTTTATATAGTTGAACATGCAGTTTAATACGACTATATTTCAGTGATATCAAAGAGCATAAGGAGTATTAATGTTATGTATTGATACCAGCAAAGGTAAAACACAGCATATGATTTATTGCAGATGAGTCTCTCAATTCTAGTTTACTTATCCAACAAATACCAGTAGTCAAATTTTTGTTGTGTGCCAGCAGCTGCTTGAAACCGTGGCTGCTGCAAACTAAGTTAATGAAATATGTTAATGACTGTTTATTACCATATTGTGGCTAAAATGCTTTGCCCTGCAATGGTTGAGATAAATTTTACATTATTTACACACGCTGGCAAATTGAATTAGATGATTCTGTTTTGATTTATACCAATGAAATTTGTGCAGCTGAATTATTAGCAAAACGTAATAATCTGATAATTGATATTTGTAAATTTGTAAATCGGCAATCATAATGCTACCAGCTGCTCTATATTAAGACATTTCATAAATGAAATGGTAGACGTGCAGTAGAAAATTATGAATGCCTCAGGACATGGGTTACATAATGAAGAAGTTGCATAAGTAAAATAATACCTTCGAATAACTATGACAATAAATATTTAATTTAAAAATCTCAAAATAAAGCTAATTTTCATCGTACTCAACATTTCCAATTTAGTCACAAAAATTATATTTAAACTTGATCAAAATTCTCAAAATATCTTACTCAGCATTATGGTCGATAATATGCTCGAGTGCTTGGCAGCTCCAATTATATTTATTTATCAGTTATTTGCATACGTTGTGAGTACAGGTTGCAGTTTTGCAATGACCATATAGTAATTTATAAATACTTTTATAGCGTTTAATAAATCCCATGATGCGTGAAGCCATTTTGCTTGTCATTCACAATTTTTCGATGTACTATATTATAAATTGCTTTAAGCATTTGCTGCAAAGTGAGTTTGTTTTTCGATATTTGTACTATATAAAATATATGCGTATGTTGCTTGGTCCAACTTTCTAATTTCGCACAGCTTCAATAAACTCTTCTGGACCAGTAAATACATTTTATTACGTGCCCCTAGTCTATGAAGCTCCTGCTGTTCGTAGCACCTACGAAGATGTTCACGTTGTGTTAAGGTCCACAAGTTGGCATTTTCTTGAGACACTTTTCAGGCATCATTTGGCTCTGTTGCTGCCCTTTATAATGGCTCTATCAGTGCCAGTAAGTGATCAATTCCTTATGCATTGGATATTCGGTTTAGGGATGTCCAGCATAGATTTCAAATAATTTTAGAATAGTTTGTAGATTAATTTAAAAAATATTTTAGAGTTATTTAATCTGTTGTGACGGAATATGTTCGGGTTCAGGAAAATCCAGGGTAAATTTAATTTCATATTAAATAAATAAATGTTGTTGACGCATTTTAAAAATAATTGAAAGTATTTCCAGTCAGGAATTAGGAATAATCACGATAAGTTGCATTATAGAAATGTTTATTGAAGATTAAATATCAGTTAAAAAAAATATAATCTGTTTAGAAAGCGTTCAGCTTCCAGACAAAGAACTTTACTGATGTAAGCATATTGAATTAATGAGTAATTACAAACAAATATTTTTAGCGCTGCAAGCTGGTTTATGTGAGCAGCCTGGTTATTCTGTCAAACTTCACAATGTGCATGTGCTTCATCTACTCCATGTGGAAGTGGCTCGCCTTGAGCGGTTTCTCGGCAACCTTTCAACTGTTGCCCATCGTGTTAATGGGTCCCGTTCTGCAGCTGCTGCTCATGGTTCGATTCACGGGGCTTATGATGGTAAGTCGCATAACCAGATGCTGGACAGCATTTTGAGTATCGAACCAATGCATTTCCAATGTCAGCTCAACCTATGGACTGTTGTCTGAGGCATGAAATTGACTGTTCCAAGGGAACGAAGATGCCGGCGAGGGATTTGGAAAAGGGGCGAGAAAAGCAATGCAAAAGTTTGGCATCAAATCAAACCAATAAACTAACAAAACTGAGCAACTTCGGGCACTTGCACAAACCAGAAACACTTTCACTGCACACAACTGCCAAACTGCAGGCATTTATGACAGTCGCCCTTACTCGGAAGGATTTTGGGGTGTGGCAGGATGGTAGGGGGCAGGGAGGTAGACAGGCAGGCAGGCAAATCGTGTAACGAAATTGTTGCTGAAAAGTTTAACAAATATTGAGGTCAGCAACATTTTTGTGAGGCAACCCCTGCAGTCGTTTCTCTGTTGCAGTTGTTGTTGTTATCGTTGTGTAAACTGTTTTATAGCCTTTGGCTCAAACTTCAGACACGCTCAGCATACACACACACACACACACACATACACGCACATTGACTTGGGTTGGCTCGAGAGGCGAAAATATTCAATGAAAATCGTCGTCAGTCGCCCAGTCAACAGTTCTTCACTTCGTCAATAATAAAGAGCTTGCCCACTTGCCCGTTATTGTCCTGACTGTTACCCACTTGGTTGGGGCTCTGTAGTCAGCTTATGGCGCATTGCAGGCGTTCACTTTGACCCCCACCTCTACGCCGCCCAATCCCTTCTCGATGCTCATTGAGAAATTGACGCAAATGCCTTTCGATTTTTCGCTCTGCTTCTGCTTTTGTGTCCGTGGACAGGAGTTGGCTTTTCGCATTGCATAATTGATTGTCTCTCTGTGTGTGTGTGTGTCTGTCTGTCTGTCTGTCCATCTGCTTGCCCTCGTTTATGCTCATTTTTAATATAGTTGATTCAGTTTTGCCAGCACTGATATCACTCAATCGCTGAAGCTTAAAAGCTGCTCCATTAATAGTTTCACTTTTGTGGCTCTTAATTAAATTGCAGTCTTTGCAGTTAAACATTGTTTAACTGTCAAGCTGACAAGAATTTAAAAAAAAATTTATTTATAAAATTTAGCAAATATATCCCAAAGTTATTAGTTTGTTCAAAAATGTTTTCAAAGATTAGCCAATCAGGAAAACATATTTTTCATGCTAAAACCAATGCAATTGTGAAAAAGGATTTTACTCTATTGTTGTTTATTGCTTTTGACTTATTTTTATCATTTTATATATTTCGATTTTATTCTAAGGCAAAATCTATATTTTTAATAAAATCAAATTTAATTGAAATGCAAAATGAAATAATAATTGGCTTATATCTCAATTGTTCTATTCTCTTGACCAATTTTTGTGCTGCTAGTCTAATAATATTGAAATTTCTCTTTAAATTATTTATATATATATGCATATACATACTGTCGGATGCCCCAAGAGCTTTGCAGCATTTAGCCAGTCTTTTTATGATGGTAAAAAAATTCGTTATATTGCATTTATTTCACATTTTACGAGTTGATTTTGACAGCTCGGCGATGCAAGTGCAATAATAAAAGGACAAGTGCATAGCATACAAGAAGTGTGTGTGTGTGTTTGTGTATGTACATGAATTGGACACATCAGATGTCACACTTTGTTGATTTTTTCAAGTTTAAGCTTGCAAGTAGGAAATTTGAAATTCATGTGCAATAAAATTCTGCTATGCTCCACACACAAGCAGCGCAGAACCACAGTCCTCATTACGCCATACCCACATAACACCCACTCATTCGCACAGACAAAACTCATACAACACACAACACACACACACATAGATACTAGCTGCCGTGCTTTCATGTATTTATGTTTTCGTTTGATAAATATACTTATACAAAAACTGTCACAGCACACGCTCAGGGAAAGATTGCAAATTGCATGTGGGAACTCCCACGAGTCTAATAACAGAGTAAAAACAACAGCCTCAAATTGTCCAAATAAGCAAACCGACTCTGAGATACCCTGAAGTTGTTATTGCGTATACTAATATAATTTGTGAAATATAATTCTGCTCTTAAGATAGGAAATATTATGTCAAATTATATATTAATTTTTAAAATGTAATACATAAATATTTAATATCGTAGAGAAGAGCATATTAAATTAATATGTGCTTATATTTTTAAAATGTAATACAAAACTATTTAATATCGTAGAGAAGAGCATATTAAATTAATATGTGCTTATATGGAGAAAAATAAAATACTGCTGAAAACATCTTTAAGTGTCGCCAAAATTTGCAACATATTTGCATTTGGTTCACTTTCATTGTTATAAATTGCATGACACTAATGTATGCTTTAAAAATAAATGCTTTAGTTATTTTTTGTTTTTATTCTCATTTATTTATAGATTATTTTATTTTCTTGAATACTTCTCATAGTCTTGGCTTACAGCTGGCTAATGAGAAAGCGCATATTCCCTTTGGAAGGACGCGGGAGCACATGAGACGAATCTGAAGTCGTGATATTGCCATGCATAGTAACAAGTCACACACCGTGCCTGACTGTATAATGATGAGCAACGATATCGTCTTCTCTCCGCATGAAAAATATAATTTTTAGCCATACACCGCGCGTGCACACATAGACACACACACACACAAACACACCTACTGTGAACCACATAATTGTGTATTCAAGTAAGAGATATGGGAGTTGAGAGCAGCTCCATCGAAGCAAATGGGTGGGGGTTGTTTCTGGCTGTGGTTCTGGCTCTAGTTTTAGCTATGGTTCTGGTTCTGGTTCTTGGGCTGCCTTAAATTAAGATAATGACACTTGAGAGACGCAACGCTTGCGGGCACTGGGGAATGTTACCTTTTGCTTTAAAAGTAACCCTCGACTCCACTGTGTGTGTATCGCAATAAGTGTGTTAGAGGAAGCGCTTGGTAAATTGCGATAAGCCAAAATTGGCCCAGCACTGGGTCACATTTACACACTTAACCCTTCAGTTAGCTGCACGGCACAGGACGGCACGCACTTTAAAGACGCCAATCCGCCAATCTAGCAATTTGATGGCAAACTGCCAAAGTGCTGACAATGATGTCGATGATGATGACGTTGGCGACCTGCATGCCAATGCGCGCTACTTCCTTGGAAATTGAATTTTTTGCCTAGCTGGTGGGCGGCATGCCAGACATGTCCATTGTCCAATGTCCAATGTCCTCGATCCTATATGCTGTGTACCTCGTAACTAGCACAGATTACAAATCATTATTGGCTGCCATTGTCGGGGCTTAGGCCAATGGAATTGCAGCGAAAGCTCTGCTGGAATTTTTATCCAGTACAGGAATTTAATTATTTAAAAATGAAAGAAGCAAAAAATATACCAAGAAACAAAATACAATTTAATTTTATATGGGCTACAAAATAATTGAAAAAAGATTATACAAAAAATATGTAACGAATATGTACATAAATAAATTAAAGCAAAAGATGGAAAAAGAATTTTGAAGAAACACAAAAACAGAGATATTCAAAAGATTCAAGAAATTGTTCTTAACATATATGTAATAAATGTTTCCTAGCTTAAAAGTTAATATAAATAAGTATATTAATAAAAATTGTAAGCCTTTTAAGCTAAATTCTAAGAACGAGAAACAATATTAATGTATTTTATAGAAGAACGTATGAAAAAGTAATAATAGTAATAGAGAGTATCCGAATGTCAACAAATATATAAAACAAAAGAGTGAGCTTAACCAAGAAATACTGATCTTTGAAGGAGGTTCCTAGTAATCTTAACTCCAAGTTTGTCTCTAAAATTGCAGTAGATATGGGCTTTGGAGAATTTTTGAAGTGGGAGTGGGCTTAGTAATCTACCTTCCAAGTTTGCTAACTATAGCTCTTAAATTGCGGGAGATATAGTCTTTAAACGTTTTTGAGGGCGGGACTGGGGCGTGGTCCAATAATGATTTATGGGTTTTTGAAGGGTGTTTAAAATTGTGGAAGAAATGCGGATTTATCGACTTACACTTCCCGGAATACATCTTTTGTCGGTTACCAGTAATATACCTACCAAATTTGATGGCTATAAAGACGGTGGTGGGCGTGGCATGTCCCTATCTTTGAAGGACATCGCCAATAACCTACAATCCAAATTTGAATTTGAAAATATGAATGAAAGATGATGGCATTGAAGAGTTTCATGAGAAGAAGCATCCTTGAAGGCGCAAATTCTTTCGAAATTCAACCGTCGATGCCATCAATGACTGGCATGTGGACATGCAATTGACTGAGCTTTGAGAATTCCAACAAGCCGTGCAAAATTCAATGGAAAACGAAACACAAACTGTACGGCAAACATGGTCTCAATTCGTATTCCATTACAATGGGATGTCGAAAAATTCGAGAGGAAACCCAAACGAACACATGAAAGCAAACTTAGAGCGAAAATTTCTTTGATTGATGCGCAAATCAGCAAATCAATTGGAATGCCACAAAAATAAACTAACTTAGGAAAATTGAAGCAGCCACCGAGCAAAGGTAGATAGGTAGATGCAGAGAAATAAAGAGTGAATGAAACAAGCTGGCAGGTTGAACTTTTAACACTAAATTTGCATTTTCAAAGCCCGCAGGTGAATGGGCTTGTGGGCATGGGCGTGATGGTAACATGTGATTTTGATGGAGCTGCGTGATTTGTGCAATGCCAAGAAACAAAAAAAAAAAGGAGAAAAGTCTACCGGAAAAAGGGCAAACAAAATGTATGCAAAAAAATGTTGGCAGCGCTGACAAAGCATCGTTTGAAGCGCAAGGGGGAATCCGTGGTCGACAAATTGAGATATTCGTCGTCCAAGTAAATCACAACAAAGCAGCTACGGCTGAGCTGTGGAGTTGGAGGAAATGCTTGGCTGGCCCCAAGAGCGTCACAGGGATGCCATTTTTACTGCACGTACCTGACCGAGGCATCACTATGCCTGCTCATATATACGAGTACATATACACAGAAATCCTGTCCTCAGAATTTATTAAGATGCTGCACAGTGGGTAAAATAATAATTTATCTTTTATATTTCAACATATCAATTTCACAAACATTGCTTAACTAGTACAACAGAAAATAATTTTAAAATTACGACAACCATTTCGAATGAAAAAATTCAATAATTGGAAGTTGTTTAATATATTTAAATATGGTTTTATCATTGTTTAACATTAAACATATATTTTTGTATATGTATATTGACATTATATAAACTAAGCATATTTTTTTTTTTTTGAATATTTTGAAAATTTGCTGTATTTTTGGGAGTGCTTTGGCCACCGTGCCGGTGGCAGGGCTTGCGTTTTGTTTTTACATGTAATGGCATTTTAATTGCACGCTACAACTCAGCGAAGTGTCTCTCAATTAAAAGTGTCTGCTTGGCTCAAAAGGATGTCGTCGTCGTGGGATCTTCGTCGAATGCGGGGAAAGGGAATAGATGTCAGGCACATGTCGTAATTTGCCGCACAGCGCATCACAGCGCTGGTGGCCCAGACCAGGACCACAAGAAGGGCTAGGCTCAGGCCCACAGCCATGTAACTGTTAATTATGCAACGCAGATAAGAAGCTCTTCCAACCGGCTAAGTAGGAGTGGTAAAAACTGTGTGAATGCCACTTAAATTTAAACGTTTTACTAAAGCCTCAGCTTTGCCAGAGATATCAAATTAAAGTAAATTGTTCACAGTAAAAAAATAAAAAAAATAATAATAATAGTTATACATGACTGAAGCCAAGCACGCAGAGAGTGAACGACGGGAGGAATTGCGACAGGAACCTCTTAGTTTGCGTCATGAATTTCGATATAGGAATCTGGGACTTCACCATCATGCAGCCCAGGACTTTTATAGATCACAAGTAAGTTCATCAAATAACTTTCATTCAAAGCTCTTCAACTGTTCTATAACCCATCCAGTGGCAATCGGAAGCAAGGTCGTTTGGCTTTCTCATCTATCGTTGGATTTTGTGCACCTTCTTTGGCACTGCTTTATTCAGCTATTTCAAACTCTATTATCGCAAAGGACATTGGTTTATCTACTTAACTAATTGGGGTTTTGTGCTGTGTGCCGTTACTAGCATTAGTGGAGCAATTTTAGTTACTCTATATCACATAAATCCTGCACAAATATGTGAGTATAAATAAAATACAAGGCAGAGTACACCAGTTATCCAACTGAGTAATTTTGTGACTATATTTTGAACTGCGAGAATAAATACATCTTCGCCTTAGTTGGCCTATCACAGCAGTCTTAATTCTTTGAGAGACACTTATAATTTATCGTAATGCAATTCTGTAGTCTATATTTTTCATTAAACAGCAACACTTTTGTTGCACAAAACCAATATGCTTATCTGCCTTTGGTATATACATATTTACATAATAAATATTTTATCCTGATTGTATATAACTGGAACTATTGGAACTGAGATTAAGTAGTTGGCAGATTGAGGCAATTAAGAATTTTTGAATTGATGCGGTAGATAAACAATAGAGTTGTCAGATTCAGTAGATTCAATAATCACAACTAAGTAAATAACTAAATATGTTTTATATTTTTCAACATTTTATGTTATGACTGAATATGAAATGCTTTACTTTACCTCAAATAATGCATTTGCTTCTAACACTCTCCATAGTGAATCGAAGCTACTTGATGAGTTGTTATTGGGCCTGTTATTGGGTAAATTTGATCATTGCGCAAAAGATTTGTATAATCTATTGGACGTGTGTGTACCCCAGGGATCAGACGTCCAATAATCCGGTTAGGCTAAATGCCCTCTTCAACATATGGCTGCATGTCCTGCCATCCCTGCTATTCACCATAGATCACATGGTGGTCGCACAGCCATCGCGTCTGCTGCATGTCTTCTATCCATTAGTGTTTTCCGGGGCCTATATGGGATTTGCCTATGTTTACTATTTGTTAGGTGGCCTGGATCCGTATGTATATACTAATATAAACTAATAATAACTCAAATATTCTGCATCTCTCCGTTTACAGACGCGGACGTCCTTATATCTATCCCATTTTGAACTTTGCAAAGCCGTTAAGTGTGTTGAAATTCGTTGGGTGGACAACGATACTCCTGGTCTTCTGCTCAACTCTTCAGTACGGTTTGTATCGTCTGAGGGTCCTGATAGCGCGCAAGCTGGGTAAACTGCAGTAACTGGTGTCTCTACATACGTATATCATTTTCAGTGGGGGGTGGAAAATTATTCTAATTGCATAATATTAAAGCGTTCCAGTCCCCAGTGCCCACATTTGGTTCTTTGTGTCATTTTTGTGTTATTTAATCCGCTGGAACGTGATTCGAATGCGCAACGCAAATGCATTTCCCCAAAACTCCACCTTTATCCCACAAAACATCTACGCATTTCTATCTTTTCCACCCTGCCTCCCATTTATTATGCAAAGCAAATTGTTATGCTCAGCTTTGCTCTCGTTTATTACTGCGTATCACAAGTTCTATTTATTTATGTATTATTTTTTGTTGTTGTCTTCTTTTTGAATATGTAATTTGTTTTGATAATTTTATGACTTCTGGATACATGGCTGGAGGTTTCAGTGTGTATTTAGTTTTGAGACACACATCACAAAAATAAGTTTAAAGTATCAAATTGCAAAAGAGCAATATACTCAAATAATGTTGTTGAAATATTGTTAAGGCATTTCAAAATTTTAAAGTAACATGTATACAAGCAATAAATATTCTGTAAGAATAATTTCATGAATAACTTAAATGAATATTTTTTAGTTCCGCTGGAAAGAAATTGAAATAAACTCACAATTATTGAAATAATTAAGACAATATAAGACTCAGATAGTTAAGTGTGAAGTTTGATTCTTATTTGTTGGAATATTTGTATGGCAATTTGGCGGTAATTTTTTTCATTTCGCAGCAACATGTGTTGAAAGCAAAAAATATTTGCTTAAGAGCAAAAAAAAAAAGCAAACTCTATTTTTAGAAATAGCTTAGACAAATAAGTAAGCAGTTAATAATGCTTAGCTTAGCCTAAATCTTTCCTATTATTTATCAAACAACTTTGGCACCACTTGTCAGTCTTTGGCTCTGCTAGTTTTCTGTACAATTTATTTTTGCTAGCACATCAGCTGTGCACTCTTTCTTTACAATTAGCCACTTCATGGAGACAGTCTTAGCCACAAATGAGACTGCGTCGGCTAGCATAAAATTGACGTCAGTGTAAATGGCATTATTGAAATATTTATGCTGGCTTACAATACACAGGCTGAGCCTGCTGCAGAGTTGCCACAGTTGTCAGGCGACATGAAGTTACTTAAATAATTTCAATATGTGTGCGAAAGTTGATGGATACACAGATGGGTAGATGCAGGAATCGGCCTTTTGGAAGTCACTTTGTGGGCGTGTGTGTGTGTGTGTGGGTGAGGAAGTGGGGGCACTCCACCGGAGCGCATTTGGCAACACTGTTAGTGCAGCCACTTAGCCTTGTTAGTTGCAGCTGGCGGTAGTCGAAACATATCGAATGTTAACGTATTTATGGCTGCACTCTGCATGACAGCCGCCAAATCGTCCTGCCAAAATGGGGCGTGTCGCATATGTGTGTATGGGCGTGTGTGTGTGTGTGAGTTAAGTGTACGCTTAAAGCAGCATCTTAAATTGTTATCAGCAGTCGCCAGGGGGTGCCAGCAAGTGGAGCGTTCCGTTTCGTAGCTAACAAGGCGCAAAACATTTTAACATTTTTTAACATTTCCGCACTTTTGCATTCAATTTAATTTAACATAAACATTTATATGTTTATTATGGCACGCATATGCTGCAGCAGTGTTGTCGCTGACGTTGACGTTGACGACGATGCTGACGCTGCCGCTGACGTTGACGTTGACGTCGCTGCTGTTCATTGTGCATGAGAGTTTCATGCTTGAAATGCGCATACGTCGCGTATACGTAATATGCATTTTGTGGCAATACGTTGGCAACTTTAGTTGAGTGGCTCGAGCAGAGGGGAGGGGCAGCGGTCGGGGTTGAAAAAGTAACCACTATAAATTTGTGCACACACTTACAACTCGACGCTCGTCCGACAACAGCAACAGCAACAGCAACAACAAGAACAACAACAACTTAAATCTTAAGTAGCTCAACTTGTTTATTTATCGAAGCAGAAGTTAATGCCACATCGCGAGAGGGGTTGACAGGGTTGGCAGGGGACGAAATCCAACGAGCATAAAAATAGGGCAGATGAAAAAATAAATTGTGGGAATGCGTCGCAATAACATTGTTATAGGTTTGCCATTGTTGGTTTAATGGCCACTACAAGTACACCTAAAATATCACTGCAAATTTAATAAGAAATTAAAAATATTCTTACTAAAATAAGTTAAAATTAAATAAATAATGTTTATTCAACTTTTAAGAGAAAGTTTCATATTTTATATAACAAAAAATTAAAAATATTTTTGTTGCTTCAGGGATTGTACATATTATTATTATTATTATTATTAGATTACTTCATTTTGATTGTATGCAATCTATCTACAATATCTACACTTTTATATATTTATTATTTATTTATTTTTTAATTTAATATGTTATATTTTTGAACAACAGAAATAGCTTACACAAATCTTTTAGCAAACATTTTTATGAAAACTTCAAAAGTAATAATAAACAATTTATGAATCCAAAGTTACACCTCAAATTTCATCGTAATATATGAATGTAGATTATTTTTTGCGGTATTAAAAAATGGAAATAAAAGTAATGTGCGGAAAATAGGCCAAAACTATTTTGCATAATCAATCTATTGTTGTGATTTTCGTGAAATATTATTTAACTTGAGGGCTATCGAAGCGGTATGAAATTTGATTCTTTAGAGTGCATTCAAGTGTTAAAATATGTATATGAAATTGATTGGCTGATTAAACTCACACATCCACACGCACACAGACGCAGACGCAGACACAGACACAGATAGAGATTCACACGCTGTCATAGATGTATAAATTCCATTTAAAATCTACATATATGCTCTTGGTTGCCTTTAGGGGCTTTTGTAGTATTTTGTATTGTTTGTCCTTGGCATTTTGTGCTGTGTTGATTTACTACGGAAATGACGCAAATAACGCAGCAAATTTAAGCCACTCACACACACGCACACACACACACACACACACACGTATGCGATTTACGAACTCGAATGAATCTACACCTTTTCCTGGGTTATTTATGACAACAACAACAACAACCAGCTGGCTGCTAACCGGCAACAGGATGTTTAATATTATGCATGGAAAATAAAGGCAACACACAATCACACACACATCCGCTCACACACACACACACACACACACTTACTGCAGGGATTTGCTGTTTTAATATTTTGCATATATTTATATATTTGCTGTTGTTTGTGTGTGTGTGTGTTTTTTACCTCTTTTGTGTCACTTTGGAGAATGAAATTTAATTGTGGTGCTCATTAATGGCACGTCGTCTGGCTGTAGACTCAAAAAGCAAGCGGATATATGTGATTTCCGGCAATAAATACATCTACCATATAAAGCATTATATTTATATATATATATATATATATATATATATATATATATATATATATATATATATTGATAAATGAAGCGTTTGCTTTTGGAATTTACGAATGGAAAGAATGTTAAGGCAAAGTTTTCAGCTACAGTTAAAAAATATAATATTCTTACTCTTTCACGCACAATTTATGAGTTTCAATTTGAATTTATAACTTGATTATCACATTTGCATTTGATATGGGCGTTTCGTTCCCTTTGTTATGAGCATTCTTACCCTCAAAACATGGGGCCGAGAACAAACAATCATTTAAGCATAAAACCATAAATCTATGCGCCAATAAGAGGGATTTCAACCAAGTAATACAAAATACACGCTACCAAAATGAACAAGGAAAGCAAAATAAAAATAAAAGCAAACGTTGAGAAAAAGGGCCATGAACATGAGCCAGCAGAATTTGCAAAGGGACAGTTAGCAGCTTGAGTGGCATTTTTCTCTTGCATTACTAAGATGCTACTCTATAAAAAATTATTATGTACAAACTCTAAACTTACATTAATATATTTTTTAAAATCTATTTGATCTATAAGGTATAATTTAATTTAAATAATTTTTTTTCTAATATTTTATAAATATTCTATATCATCATAAAATATTCTCTGTCTTAAATCTAATATATTTTAATTTAATTGCCAATAATAATAATTGATATCTATTTACGAACTGAGTGGCGTTAAGTGCCAAACTTAAGCTGCAGATATGCCCAATTGATAGAGAGACTTCATAGTAAACGAAGCATTGGATATGCAAAGCCAAAGCCAAAGCCAAATAACAATATCGATGCCAAACCAAAGCCATGGCCAAAGCCCAAGCCAAAGTCGGAGTCGAAGCCAATCAAAGGCAAAACAATAAACAAGCATGACAATAAATATAAATAAATAAATAAATAAGCAGAAAGAAGCGTACGTCAGGCAAATGCGAAGATTGAGTTGGCCACAGCACAACACACCACACACTGCAGGCACCAGCACCAGGTCTCAGATCCTGGCACGCAGCGTCGTTTTGCTAGCGTAAAAAAAGGATAATGACGCGACTCGATTCGCAATGCAAGCGACACTATTAAACAGAAAGCAGAAGATGGAATGATGAAAAAAAAGGGTGAAACGAAGAAATTGATTGAACGGCGCATTAAATATAAACCACATAGCCACACCCACACACAAATATATGTATATATATATATGTATATATATGTATATATACACTCTGCTTGTTTGATGACTGAAGACCGCAGGTTGCGCCACGTCACGCTTCAGGCAAAAGCTGAAGTTTCTCTTGTTGTTGTGGTGCTCCTGATTTTTACCCACTTCAATTTAACGGCTACTTAAATCCATCATTTCAAATTATCTCTCTGAGCTCATTCCGAGTGCTCTGATCACTCGGATGTGCCATCAGTTTTGAGCATATTTGGCAGCCACCAAGCTATTTTAAGCTGGCATAAACTGTAATAAAATTAACATTCATCAACATTATTGAATATTACAAAATATCCTATTCCAGTCGAGACACCCAACCATAAGTATTCAGGAATACCTAAAGTATTTATTTATTAATTAAATGTGCCCACAAAAATTTGATTTAAAAATTGGTTTAATTAAAAACAAATGTTAATTTAAAATGAAAGTTAATTAAATAATATAATAGATAGAAAGTGACTAATTCATTTCAATTCAATTAA